TTGTTTGTCTCGTTTGCATTGCCTGTCTCGTTTGTATTGTCTGTCTCGTTTGTATTGTCTGTCTCGTTTGTCTTGTTTGTCTCGTTTGTATTGTCTGTCTCGTTGGTATTGTCTGTCTCGTTTGTATTGTCTGTCTCGTTTGTATTGTTTGTCTAGTGTGTATTGTTTTTCTAGTTTGTATTGTGTGTCTCGTTTGTATTTTCTGTCTCGTTTGTGTTGTCTGTCTAGTTTGTATTGTCTGTCTCGTTTGTATTGGCTGTCTCGTTTGTATTGTTTGTCTAGTTTGTATTGTTTATCTCCTTTGTATTGTCTGTCTCGTTTGTATTGGCTGTCTCGTTTGTATTGTTTGTCTCGTTTGTATAGTCTGTCTCATTTATATTGTCTGTCCCGTTTGTATTGTCGGTCTCGTTTGTATTGTGTGTCTCGTTTATATTGTCTATCTCGTTTTAATGTCTGTCTCGTTTGTATTGTCTGTCTCGTTTGTATTGTCTGTCTCCTTAGTATTGTCTGTCTCGTTTGTATTGTTTGTCTCGTTTGTATTGTTTGTCTAGTGTGTATTGTTTGTCTAGTTTGTATTGTTCATCTCGTTTGTATTGTCTGTCTCGTTTGTATTGTCTGTCTCGTTTGTATTGTTTGTCTCCTTTGTATTGTTTGTCTCGTTTGTGTTGTCTGTCTCGTTTGTATTGTCTGTCTCGTTTGTATTGTCTGTCTAGTTTGTATTGTCTGTCTCGTTTGTATTGTCTGTCTCGTTTGTATTGTCTGTCTCGTTTGTATTGTTTGTCTCGTTTGTATTGTCTGTGTTTTGTATTGTCTGTCTCGTTTGTATTGTCTGTCTCGTTTGTATTGTTTGTCTCGTTTGTATTGTCTGTCTCGTTTGTATTGTCTGTCTCGTTTGTATTGTTTTTCTCGTTTGCATTGTCTGTCTCGTTTATATTGTCTGTCTCGTTTGTATTGTCTGTCTCGTTTGTATTGTTTGTCTCGTTTGTATTGTCTGTCTCGTTTGTATTGTCTGTCTCGTTTGTATTGTCTGTCTCGTTTGTATTGTTTGTCTAGTGTGTATTGTTTGTGTAGTTTGTATTGTTTATCTCGTTTGTATTGTCTGTCTCGTTTGTATTGTCTGTCTAGTTTGTATTGTCTGTCTCGTTTGTATTGTCTGTCTCGTTTGTATTGTTTGTCTAGTTTGTATTGTTTATCTCGTTTGTATTGTCTGTCTCGTTTGTATTGTCTGTCTCGTTTGTATTGTCTGTCTCGTTTGTATTGTCTGTCTCGTTTGTATTGTCTGTCTCGTTTGTATTGTCTGTCTCGTTTGTATTGTTTGTCTCGTTTGTATTGTCTGTCTCGTTTGTATTGTCTGTCTCGTTTGTATTGTCTGTCTCGTTTGTATTGTCTGTCTCGTTTGTATTGTCTGTCTCGTTTGTATTGTCTGTCTCGTTTGTATTGTCTGTCTAGTTTGTATTGTCTGTCTAATTTGTATTGTCTGTCTCGTTTGTATTGTCTGTCTCGTTTGTTTTGTTTGTCTGGTTTGTATTGTCTGTCTCGTTTGTATTGCTTGTCTAGTGTGTATTGTTTGTCTAGTTTGTATTGTTTATCTCGTTTGAATTGTCTGTCTCGTTCGTATTGTCTGTCTCGTTTGCATTGGCTGTCTCGTTTGTATTGTCTGTCTCATTTATAATGTCTGTCTCTTTTGTATTGTCAGTCTCGTTTGTATTGTCTGTCTCGTTTATGTTGTCTGTCTAGTTTGTATTGTCTGTCTCGTTTTATTGTCTGTCTCGTTTGTATTGTCTGTCTCGTTTGGATTGTCTGTCTCGTTTTTATTGTCTGTCTCATTTGTATTGTCTTACTCGTTTGTATTGTCTGTCTCGTTTGTATTGTCTGTCTCCTTAGTATTGTCTGCCTCGTTTGTATTTTTGTCTCGTTTGTATTGTTTGACTAGTGTGTATTATTTGTCTTGTTTGTTTTGTTTATCTAGTTTGTATTGTCTGTCTCGTTTGTATTGTCTGTCTCGTTTGTATTGTTTGTCTCCTTTGTATTGTTCTGTCTCCTTTGCATTGTTTGTCTCGTTTGTGTTGTCTGTGTTTTGTATTGTCTGTCTCGTTTGTATTGTCTGTCTCGTTAGTATTGTTTGTCTCGTTTGTATTGTCTGTCTCGTTTGTATTGTCTGTCTCGTTTGTATTGTTTGTCTCGTTTGCATTGCCTGTCTCGTTTGTATTGTCTGTCTCGTTTGTATTGTCTGTCTCGTTTGTCTTGTTTGTCTCGTTTGTATTGTCTGTCTCGTTGGTATTGTCTGTCTCGTTTGTATTGTCTGTCTCGTTTGTATTGTTTGTCTAGTGTGTATTGTTTTTCTAGTTTGTATTGTGTGTCTCGTTTGTATTTTCTGTCTCGTTTGTGTTGTCTGTCTAGTTTGTATTGTCTGTCTCGTTTGTATTGGCTGTCTCGTTTGTATTGTTTGTCTAGTTTGTATTGTTTATCTCGTTTGTATTGTCTGTCTCGTTTGTATTGTCTGTCTCGTTTGTATTGTTTGTCTCGTTTGTATAGTCTGTCTCATTTATATTGTCTGTCCCGTTTGTATTGTCGGTCTCGTTTGTATTGTGTGTCTCGTTTATATTGTCTATCTCGTTTTAATGTCTGTCTCGTTTGTATTGTCTGTCTCGTTTGTATTGTCTGTCTCCTTAGTATTGTCTGTCTCGTTTGTATTGTTTGTCTCGTTTGTATTGTTTGTCTAGTGTGTATTGTTTGTCTAGTTTGTATTGTTCATCTCCTTTGTATTGTCTGTCTCGTTTGTATTGTCTGTCTCGTTTGTATTGTTTGTCTCCTTTGTATTGTTTGTCTCGTTTGTGTTGTCTGTCTCGTTTGTATTGTTTGTCTCGTTTGTATTGTCTGTGTTTTGTATTGTCTGTCTCGTTTGTATTGTCTGTCTCGTTTGTATTGTCTGTCTCGTTTGTATTGTTTGTCTCGTTTGTATTGTCTGTGTTTTGTATTGTCTGTCTCGTTTGTATTGTCTGTCTCGTTTGTATTGTTTGTCTCGTTTGTATTGTCTGTCTCGTTTGTATTGTCTGTCTCGTTTGCATTGTTTGTCTCGTTTGCATTGTCTGTCTCGTTTGTATTGTCTGTCTCGTTTGTATTGTCTGTCTCGTTTGTATTGTCTGTCTCGTTTGTATTGTCTGTCTCGTTTGTATTGTCTGTCTCGTTTGTATTGTCTGTCTCGTTTGTATTGTTTGTCTAGTGTGTATTTTTTGTCTAGTTTGTATTGTTTATCTCGTTTGTATTGTCTGTCTCGTTTGTATTGTCTGTCTAGTTTGTATTGTCTGTCTCGTTTGTATTGTCTGTCTCGTTTGTATTGTTTGTCTAGTTTGTATTGTTTATCTCGTTTGTATTGTCTGTCTCGTTTGTATTGTCTGTCTCGTTTGTATTGTTTGACTCCTTTGTATTGTCTGTGTCGTTTGGATTGTCTGTCTCGTTTGTATTGTCTGTCTCGTTTGTATTGTTTGTCTCGTTTGTATTGTCTGTCTCGTTTGTATTGTCTGTCTCGTTTGTATTGTCTGTCTCGTTTGTATTGTCTGTCTCGTTTGTATTGTCTGTCTCGTTTGTATTGTCTGTCTCGTTTGTATTGTCTGTCTAGTTTGTATTTTCTGTCTAATTTGTATTGTCTGTCTCCTTTGTATTGTCTGTCTCGTTTGTTTTGTTTGTCTGGTTTGTATTGTCTGTCTCGTTTGTATTGCTTGTCTAGTGTGTATTGTTTGTCTAGTTTGTATTGTTTATCTCGTTTGAATTGTCTGTCTCGTTCGTATTGTCTGTCTCGTTTGCATTGGCTGTCTCGTTTGTATTGTCTGTCTCATTTATAATGTCTGTCTCTTTTGTATTGTCAGTCTCGTTTGTATTGTCTGTCTCGTTTATGTTGTCTGTCTAGTTTGTATTGTCTGTCTCGTTTTATTGTCTGTCTCGTTTGTATTGTCTGTCTCGTTTGTATTGTCTGTCTCGTTTGTATTGTCTGTCTCATTTGTATTGTCTTACTCGTTTGTATTGTCTGTCTCGTTTGTATTGTCTGTCTCCTTAGTATTGTCTGCCTCGTTTGTATTTTTTGTCTCGTTTGTATTGTTTGACTAGTGTGTATTATTTGTCTTGTTTGTTTTGTTTATCTAGTTTGTATTGTCTGTCTCGTTTGTATT